AGCACCAGTAAATTTTTGCAACACCAACAAAAGTGCGCGAGCCCGTAGGGCGAGTGCACTTTGTGGTCTTTGAAAAATTTACAAGTGCTTATTTATTCCAAATTGCACGAGAAAAGTCACGTGATTACTTATTAATAATATACACGTAAAACATAACTACAACAACAAATTTTGACAGCGCGCGCGTTTTTAGTTAATTCAACTGATTGGCTGAAACAGACTACTACCTTTGTCAAATTCAAACTTTTTTGAGACCAACGCTTTCAAAATCATTCAGCTAAGAACTTGGAAATGTGCAAGGATTGGTTTTACATAGTCACCAGCCTGTCAACTCGGTTTACAATAATCAGCAGAAGTAAGTGTTTTTAAATTCATCCTCGATTATGAGAGGTCGGCGTTTACCAGAAGTATACTGCCGTTTTGAAATCAGGAGAACGCTTCGAGCAGCCAAAGATGAAAGACGCTGAGTTGTTTAACGACTGTTCATCATTGTCTGTTCCTAAGACCCCGCCATAGCTGAATGATTCATAGCATGATTCATGGAAAAATTTTTGAGATGTAAATCCTGAAAATGAAAGAGGCAATTTGTTTTCTTTCGACGCTGTCATCGATGGGTGAGTAGAGCCACAGTTGTTGTGATGTCGCAAACTGCCAGTATCGGTGATATTATATTTTCTTTTTCTTAGCGCTGAGGTTTTCATTATTTCATTTGGATATTGCAAGAGAGAGTGATCGTCGCTCCTCTTCATCAGCTTCATCGTAGTTGTTGAAGAAATTTATACCTCTGTGGCCTGTGACATTGGCGATATATTCTGAAGTTACAATGTTTGCTTTTTTCAGCTTGCTGACTGTTGTTTATCTTGCACTATGACTCGTAACCTTTTTTCTCACTTTCTCTAAGGCTTGTACCAGCTGCGGATAATTTCATTATGTTAGTTATGATATTTTCGCCCGTTGGTTTAGTTTGAACCAAATGTTTAAATTTTCGGTTTCGTTTGCTACTGAGGTAGAAAGAAACAGACAATCGCATGGATGTTTTAATAGAGGTCTTCGCTCGACAAAAGACTTAAAGAGAGCAACCGGACACCTTTCTCATCCAACAAATAACGTACGTGACTTGAAATCCCTGTTGTTATCATGGAAAACTTGTATCCTTGTTCATTTAAATGCCTGAAAAGTGAAGCTGTCATGGCTTGTGTGTGGTTGCCACCTTTTTTGTTCTCTATTTTTTACTTTAGCGTAGCTGTTATAAGTAGCTTATTTACTTTCTCTGGCTCATTTTCCTCGACTTTGTCGACTTGCTGTATTTTTCTCTTAGCACCGAATTTTCAATACATTTAGCCAGAAACACGTTCTTTTTACTGTGTTCGGGTTTTTGGAATATTTTTTTAACTTTTCTATTGTTGTTTTGCTTACAAAATCAAATCGTTGTTTGCTGAAAGCCATGGCCATTTTCTTAAATTTGTTGTTTAAACAGCTCTAATCTGATTGGTTCTTGGTCGTTTCTCTTGTGTTTTAAGCCGATCAGAAACCGTTTGTAATTTGCACTCGTGTTATAAGTTTGCGCTCGTCTTACACAGTTTGCACTCGTGTTACAGAAGAACTGCACTCCTTTCTCAGCCAATCAGAATTGAGTAATTTTTTCTTGTGTATTATTAATTGCCGAACTAGGAACGTTCACGTATCAAAGGAATAGTTACATTCATGAGCCGCCACTTCCAAATACGGGATCAGACCACGAACCTTTGCGCAGCAGCAGTGCCGCAGTAGATAGTCAAGAAACATGACACAATAACATAAAAATGTTCAAGCTGGGTTAGTTTATTACGCTAGTCACTAATCGTCAAACAGTACTAAATATTTTTTCGCGGTAATTGTACGATTCTCCCGCTTATTTACTATCAAAAGGTACGCTGAAAGCTTTTGATCTGGAACAGATTCAACTAACAGACTCCAGAAGATCACCTGGTAGATTTTGTGTTTAAGCTACTGTAGTTTCAATGCATAACGTATCAAATTATTGATTGGTGTATTTACTGCCTACATTAACATGCGTTTTACAAAGTCAAAAGCTAAGCACTAAGAGGTTTACAAGGAGACGGAATAACAACTCTGACTTTCCCTTCGCGGCCATAAATAAAATCAGACCACTTGTAGACGTTCCCCTCCCCTGACAGGCACGATTTTGACATCTGCTCAATTTGTGCAGTGGACAGCACGTGATCCCAGACGTTGACGTTTGTCATCGTTCCGATGAACCTCTGTGTTGCGTCAAAGCCACCTCCAAGAGAATCTTGCTCTTGACCAAGCATTATGGATCCTCCTTTCTTTAAGACTTGGCCAGTCTTTAATCCCGTTCCCTTTGCTACAACGACTCCATCTTTGTATAACTTCCACGAACCGCCTTTGTTCTCCCATGATTGACAGATATGGTGCCATTTACCGTCATTTGCGGATTGAGAAGTTACACTGTTATGAAAATATGACCCTATTAACGAGC